CTCACTCCGTCTTCCTCTCTTTCCTCAGTGCCAGGAGTACAGAACCTGTTGCTGGAGTGCCCTTGTCTGAGTTTCTGCCTGGCTTTTTTTCCTCTACTCAGATCTTCTCTTTGCTGCGGTAAGTCTGATGAACAGCTTCCTTGCTGTCACTGCTTGGTGACATGGCACAAGGGCTTTAATACAAGTACTTCCCTTTGGGAGCATCAACCTGCATTTTCTAAGAACAGCCCTAGGAAAGTCTGGGCACCATGTGACATCTGAGGAAAACAGGGAGGTATCCAAGGCTTCTAGTTAAAGATAAGTAAAATTCTTGTCTCAAGAGTGATCAGAGAAATTACTTTGGTGGCGCCTGTATTGAATTGAGATTGGGGGCCATGAGTGGTCTGCTACAACAGTGGTCAAGGTTCAGGTGCCACATGAAAGGTGAGGCAGGAGGCTTCAGAAAGCCTCCAAGTCTGGTTCTGAGCCTGTAGGGAAAACTGCCACAAAACCTCCAAACTTTTGTTCAGTTTTGTATTACAAAATTGCACATAAACCATAAAGCTATTCAAATGCAGTGGGTAGCTGATACAGCTGGTTTTATCTCTGCTTTCTAAAGTAACACATAGGGCACTGTCTATCTAGACTGCAAAAAGGTACTTGTATTTTTCTGGAGGGTGATCAGAGCTACAGTAGCAGGGGCAATTCCAGAGTTTAATGTTTGCTGCTTTGAGGCATCACTGCAGACCAATATGGTGTTATATAAAGATTAAAAAAACCAGATTTTATCAGCATGTGTTGGCTGCTGCAAATGTATGTAAAGCTTTGTTTTAGAGAAATGCGTATGTGAACTTTGAGCATAAAGTGCTAAATACCATCACCCATTTTAGAAGAGCTTAAAATAGCTCCTGGCTGCAGAGCAGGTGCCATGTGTCCTTCTGCTGAATATAGGGGGATGCAAAAGCTAAATATAGACCAGTCTGTAAACCCTCCAGAAGTTAAAGCTGCAAGAAAGAAATCAGGAAGCAAATCCCATAAGAAGGAAGGGGAAGCACACTGTTTATAAAAGATAAACAAAACTCTGTGACAGTCTTCAAGGCAGCCTGCAAGACAAGCTAAGAAGAAGATGTTTAATTTGTGTTTTGGTCATGCTGGGAGGATGCCTGGGCAGCAATGCCAGCTCCCAGCAGTGAGAGGTGGGCTGGCACACCCCAGCATAGGAGCAGTTTTCCCAGCAGTGTGAGATGGCTATTGCACCTCTGCTAAGTCAGTCATTGGCCCTTGCCTACTGACCTTTTACTTTGGAAATACTGGCTGTTTTCAAAGCACAGTGAAGGCAAATTGTGCTGTAAATGTGAAATATTGAGGGATATAATTACAGACAAACAAACTCAGCATGTAACCAGACTGATCTGAGGCATGCACCTCTTGCTGTTGCCTCTGGATGCAGTTGTGGGTAGGCTGTACTCAGCTATGCTGAAAGCTCCATTTCTGTCTGAGTCTTCCCAAGTTCTTAACAGGGGAAGGAGAATGGAGAAGAGTCTTCCTCACAGTGGGGAGGCAGCAGCACCCTCTGGCTCTTGGGGATGTTCCCCACTGAAGGAGAGGAGAACCACAGTGACTATTTGTAGGCAGCAACCACAAGTGTCAAGTTTCCATCCAAAACACCAGAGCCAAGAAAGGTGCTGATCTCACAGCTGTTGGAATAAGTCCAGGATTTGGGAATGCAGGAGAAAAAGAGTAAACAAGATGCAATGCTCAGACTCAGTCAGAGTAGCCAGTCCTCCCCCTTTCCATAAAACAGGATAAGGCTGTGTTGGAAATCCAGTGCCTGGAGGCAACAGTAATGCTAGTAGGAGTTGCAAAACTGAAAAAGTGGCCAGTCTAAAATTGGGCAAGTCTGAAAAACCAAGGAATTCCTCTTCTGGACTCTGTCACCTAATTTTTAGGCATTACTGTGTTTGAGATAGAGTATAATGTAAACACTTTGGGTCTTGCTGAAATTGGCACCAAGTCTTTTATGGCCTGATAAGGGAGAATTCCTTGTGTACATCAAGGTTAAGCAGGCTGGGGTACAAGGGAGAACTGGGGCCAACTGCAGTAAAAACTCCCAGCATCAAAGGCTGTAAGCAGGCAACTCCCAGATGCTGTGACTCCCTCAACATAAACTGCAGCACTGTGGAAGCTGTTGTGCAAAACAAGGTACAGAAGTCTTCATAAGCATTGTGTTTGTGCTGGAAAGCAGTTGTCAGACCTCTGGTTTAGTCTGAGGAAGAACAAAATGCAACATTAGGATATTTATTGTGTGTGTAAATACAACTGCTGGTATGACCCAGTGGGTGGGCACCTTTGGGTTAGAAGTTCATTGCTGTGTATTTCTGAGGTTCCTGCCTGCTCACCATTCTGGGCTGGTGGATGGAAACTCGGCAGTTGTGAATTGCCATGGTTTCAGACTGATTATAGCTAATCCCTTTCTAGCCAGGAATGTATGTTAGGGAAGATTTCCTGCAAGGCCAGCTTGTAAGCATCTTGGGTCCTTGATTCTAATAATCCAGTTTCTCTTTCATTCACCCATGTTTTTCTATTGTTACTGAGACACATCATGCACAGATCAATTGCCACAGTGTATTTAAAGCCTACAGTCTTTGGAGACATGCTTTGTGATTCACATAAGAGGAAACCTTTAGCCAGAGAGTGCTACCACATGAGTGATGAAGTTGGGAGGCAGCCAAGGGGGAGAGTCAGAGTACAGAGAGAACATCGGCTTGAGCCTTCATACAAAGAGGGAGGGATAGAAAAGAAATTAATATTTGGAAATGGAGCATTTTGCAGTCCTGCTCACCCTCTGTGATGAACATATAACAAAAATAGCTGTTTTGAACTGGGATATACTTTCTGAGTTTTATTCTGCCTAAACAAGAGCTGGTAGTCCTGGCTTTCTAGCTGATTGATTTCCAACTGCCAATTAGCTCAAATTAATGATTGCAACAGTAAACACTAGCCTGAACATGTCAGAGATAAACACATATTTTGTGGAGTGCCTAGCTTAGCCTTTACAATACTCTTACTGACCTTGAATTAATTGGCAGTCAATTAACTCTAGTTTAAAAAGATCACAAACAGGAGGCTAACATTTGTGCTATCTGGATTTATTTACTTAAACTGCGCATATAGGGTCTAATTTTTCAATGTCAATTAAACTCGATATGACATCAAATCAGATCACTATAATTTTACAATCATTTTGCACTGATATAGCAACTATGGCACAAGGAGTGAGGAAAGAATGGGACATGACTGTGTGACAGATTTGTGAGACCAGGTCCAGATGCATTCCTAAAACAATTGTGCTGGCAAGTTGTATCCATGGGTGCACTGCAGGGGCATGGATTTATAGCTAACAGCTTTCAAACACCTCCTGAGCCCGCTCAAATCTTTCAATTATTTGCTTGAGAGATGATAACTCATTTGACTATCTTATCTGCAAGCCTGGTCATATAGCTAGAAAATCAAATCTTCAAAAACGTTGCCTTAGTGATGGCCATCACTGCACTTCCAAACATCACTTTGACTGGGGAGAATTTAAGAACCCTGAGTCATTTATTACAGTAAATGACATCTCTTATCATATAATGCCTTTGGTCATGTTATTTACAGTTTTGAAAGCTGTAGAAATTTAGACACTATAGAAAACATATGTTGCAGCCTGTTTGAGCAGGGAATAAAATGATTTCCAGTTAGCTCCATGTTTTCAAAATCTATTAAAAATAAGAAAGCAATCACTTCACATGCTGGAAAGAACCAACCAAGTAAGCTTCTTCCCCTCTTCCCCACTGGCACCATTATAAATTATATTATTAAGGAGAGGAACAAAAATCAGTCTGGAAAAGAGAGAGAAGGACTAATGGCTGGAAAGTGTCCCGAGTCTGCAGTCAAGAAGTAATGGGGGTTAGTTGCACGTCAAGGTCCAGCTGTGCACCCCACACCTCTGCATTACTTCATGAGGGCAACACAGAGGTGCCAGCAGCCTCTCCCTCTAAGAGGGAAGGGGCCTTCACTACTCCGAGTTTTCCTGGTGCCCAGGATGCTCTTGCTGACAACCTCATTACCAGGTCCTGGGTAAGCCAGAGCAGGAGCACAGCTATGTTGGGGGCTCTGTATTTGCCTGGCTGAGTGCAGCTGCTCAAATACCTGAGAAAACAAAAGCTTCGCTTTGCAAACTGGGAACAAATTAGCTGAAATTCACTCCACAAAAGACCATGGACTATCCAACTGTGTTACTTGTGGTTGGGTTTATTTCATTGTGATTTATTCTGCAGTTGGTACTTTGTCAAAGAAGCTGTCAGCAGCATGCAGCAAGTACAAGAGAAGGGTGGTTTGTAGCTGCTAATCTTATTCTTTGCTGTTATTGTGACAGTACCAAACCACGTCTCTTGTAGATCAAGCACCATGCTGGGCTTTCCAAGGGCACAATGCAATTTTCAGTTGCACTGAAAATATAAATAGTAAAATATTAGAAATATTAAAATATTTTTGTGATTATTGACTCAAGATGTGTCAACAGGAGAGAAACAGGAAATGAAACTAATGCAGCTCTGAAGTGAAGCTGCCTATATCGGAACCAGTGTTGCAAGTAAACAGATCAAGAAAAGTAAACATGTGGCAAATATTTTATTCAAGGAGGAAAATGGTATAAGTGACTGAGGTGTCATTTCATGTGTCATTGCTGGCAGTGGGAATAAGAGGTTTTCATTTTTAAGTGTTAGATTTGGGTAGGCTTTTCTCTTGGAAAGTATATGATTGGCCTTTTTCCTTGCAGGCAAATTACCTTGGTTATTTATCTAAGCGTGACATTTGTCAAGCCAGAACCAATGGATAAGCTGCCATCCCAAGTTTCACACAAAATCACTCACACGCTGGCCAAGCTTTGAGAACAGCTTGATGGCTAATTCTTTGTATGGCTGGTTCTATGCCTTTAAATTAACCCTCCATTTGTTTTTCTGTCAGGTGCTGCACTAAGCATGGAGAGTGACCAGTCTTCCGCCTCACCTGGGCAGGACATCCAGGGGCAGAGTGGGGACAGAGCTGCCCCTGGCCTGCCATCCCCTGCTCCAGCCCCCATGGAGCAGCCAGGCAGCTGGCCCCAAGCAGCCACGTGTGACATCTCAGAGGAGCTGAGCCGGCAGCTGGAGGACATCATCAAAACCTACGGATCTGCCACCAGCCTGATGGAGAAGGAAAGCACTGCTGCAGGAACAGACAGGCCTGAGAAGGGAGAGCCAGGCAGCTTGGAGGATGCAGAGTATGAAGATGGAAATGAAGAGAGTGAGAAAGAGAAGCTGGCTCCTGGAGATGCCTCCAAAGCAAAGGAGCCCAGCGGCAACAAGGAGCAGAAGCTGGAGAAGAAAATCCTGAAGGGACTAGGTAAGTATTTACATACTCACACAGCCCTTCTGCAAACACAAGTGAGAACTCCCTGGTCCTTGCTCTTTACCATGTTAAGTTTCTGGTATGGATGATAGGGGCCTCCAGTTACCACTGAAAATTACAGTGACCATTACAACTTTTCTATAACTGATAATAATGTTTGGCACTACCCAACACGTAGGCTATATCAGACATTAGTTCTTAAAAAAAAAAAGTACCACACAACACTGATGTACTACTGGGCCACCCACATTGGTTAGCCAGAGCTGTCAGTCCAATGACACATTGCACAAAGTCACTTAGATGAAGGAAAACCTAGCCTCTCATCTGTACCTCAGTGAATGTTTTCTTCTCTTGTCTGCTCAGATATGACTACCCACTGGTCACAACAGTAATAATGGTACTACTGTGTGGCATGGGGACCTGCAGAATAAATTTACTGTCATGCCCAGGTTGTTTTTCATTTAGGAAACCCCTTGACTAATCATATAATATAGATGAAATAAGCCAATACATTTGTTCTCTAACACCTCAGCCCTGGCAGAGCTGACAGCTGAGCTAGAAAGAAGTCTTAGCAAGTTTTTGAATACATGTACTTTCTGCTGGGCAGCCACTAGAGAGCAATGTAGTTACATTTTAATCTAATATAGATGTAAATTATTTCCCTTCCTACATTTAATTCCAGCCAATCTTCGAGCCTCTCCTTTGCATGAGAGCCCAAACCCAAATGCAGACTAAGCCTGTAAATTAATCACCATAGACATTCTCACAGACAAGGGACTAATCATAGAGCACAGCATGGATTTTTTCCCTCAAATTCTTTGAATGTCCAGAAGAAAATTCCTCTTTCTACTGCCTTGGCTTTGGTGCTGTTACTGGTACTTCATCAAGCTCAGTGAAAACCCTACCAACATACAGTGCTCCATCTGCCCTTGTGACAGTTCACACCAGGATTTGATTTTAGCTCCGCTTATTTATGCTGATGCTGTAGAGAGAATTTAGTGTGAAATAAAGGATTTTCTCCAGAGACCTGTACTCCCAGCCTGCACTAGAACTGAAAATGTAGAAAATGTCCAGCCCAAAGCAGATTTTGTCTAACAGTCTCAGGAAGGAAGAGCATTTGGAAAAGCATGTCCAAGCCCCTGGGACCACAGGCTTATCTCCAGGGATGTCAGAGACACTTTGTATTTCATGGACAGCAGTGTTCAAGTCCCAGCTCATACCTGGGGCTGAAATGAAAACCAAGAAGTGTCAGAGGAGCAGCAATACCTGAATGGCTGTGCAGTGATTTGGCTTTGCACGCCCAGGGAGTTATTAGACTCCCTCTGGAATACAAACTTTCTCCACCAAGTCAGTGAAGTGATTTACACAAGTATCACATAGCCCAGACCTGGCTGGCAGCACCTACCACCCTCTGATTGTTTACTTCCACAACATAGTCTCTATATCTGACTTAATATTCTTGATGTCTTGTGTGGGTCTATCAGCAAAGGAGCTGAATACACCAGACTTGATCCATTTTCACTTACAAAGAGAGCTGTTCCTGAGCCTTTGGGGTCCAGGCCCTTTCTGTCCTATTCCAGTCAAATGTACCACTTGTCTGACCTAATCATCTTGCAAAGACATTGAATGGAAATCGGATTACACAGGACAAAAGCATCTCACAGACAATGTTTTTGTTAGAAAAAAGCCCATTACTGAGGTGTGAAATGGAGGAAATTCCTAGCATGTTTGTTCTCATGGGGCAAAGAAAAACTCAGAAATTTACAGCAAAAATTGTTCCTTTCCTTCCAAAATGCCTCATTTCAGCCTGTGTTCTTACAGGCCCAACCAATTTCAAACAGCCAATTTCATAACAGGACATCAACTACAAACTATATAGCATCAAATCTCTGCTTCCTCTTTTTCTAAGGAAAAGAAGCCACCCTACTGATGCAAAGTTTGAATAAGCTGAGTACTCCAGAAGAGAAGCTGGACCTGTTGTTTAAGAAGTACGCTGAGCTGGTGAGTACAGTGTTGGCTCTTTTCTGTACAATCTGCCTACACAAGAAGGTATAAAAAATACATGACATGCAGCATGGTCAAACCTCACATACCAGCAGTGTCTGTACTCATAAGTGAGTCCCAATACAGCTGTCATAGTCAGATAATTATGGGTAAAAAAAGAGAAGAAAAGTAAAAAGTGAGGAAAACAAGATTTGGGACAGAAAGTTGATGACGCAGAATATTTGTACTTAGAAGCAAATCTACCAAACTGACCCACACTGGAGACTGGTGTCTAGGCTCCTGCCTTCACCTCCTGCAAGGAGTTTTGCATGTTTCTGTCCCAGGTATTGCTTTAAATTATGCATTGGTGATTTCATCCAAATGAAAATAATACAGGATTTAGAATAAAGCTTCCTGTATTAGGAAGCAGATAATAGACAACTGAGACTAATTGTAAGAGAAGCCACAGCACAATGAAATGAAGAGTCAAAGCCCCTGCCACCATAATGTCACTCCTGTAACAATGCCACCTACCTGACTGTTCTTTCCACGCTTAAGATGGGTTATTTTCAGATGAAGGGATATTTTCCTTTGTAGTCAAAGGACTGCATGACCATAAGCTGTGGAAATCTTACAAATGACAAGGCTGCAGCATTTTATACTTTGTGGAGTGCTGAAAAATGTGTGAAGTAGAACATTGACTTTTTAATTGGTTTTATGCACAGATGTGTCCATGTCTCATAATAACGTGAAGTGAAATTTAGCTTTCCATTTTTCATGTAAAATCCCCTGATTTCATAAATTGGGTTCAGGCTGTTTATAGCCTATCTCATGCTTAAAGGGACTGCATGCTCTCAGATTAACTGAAATAGGTCTTCTTCCTCTACAAAGTACTCTCCACTGCATTGAAATGGCATTGCAGCACTGTATAAAACAGGGGCTGGATTGCCAGTAGCCCATTCAGGAGAAAGGTGCTAAAACAAAAGTACTGAACACTTGTTTCTGACATACTGTGCAATGTCACTGAAATAAATCATTCCTTAAATACAACAAAAACCTTGTTGGAGACAGGCTCACCCTGCTCCCTTGAAGTGGCTGAGGGGCATGTGGTGATTAATGGCTTGTCAGCAGCTGGCTGTAGCTGTGACGGCTCTCCCTGCTCCCTCTTGTCCATCCCCATCACACACTTGGGATCATGTCTTGCTTTTGCTGAGCTGTTTTCCAGCCAGATCAGCTCCCTGGTCTGGTGAGCCGTGTGGTGACACAAGCACTTGTTGCAGCACAGCTCAGGGGAAGGTGTAGCCATGTGATAGACGGAGCTGGGTGCTTGGCAGTGCTTCCCTCACTCCACGTAGTGTTGAGACTGGCTGTAGCTGGAGAGGCCACCCAGCAATGTTATGTCCCTACCAGCCCATGCCCTGGCACAGTCTGTACAACTGAGGGCACACTGCAGGCTGGAGCACGGGCTGGAGAAGGTAGAAGCCATGCCAGAGGGGATGGAGAAGCAGGACAGGCATTTGGGCACAAGCTCTGCCTCTACTCGCCAACAAAGAACATTTCATTCACTAAATCCTGTGTGTTGGGTCAGCAAAGCAGACTGTGGTTTACAACAACTTTAGCTTACAAACAGCTGTCACAGAATTGTTTATAACTGGATTCTTTTCAGAGGTCCTGCGAGTCTCACAAGTGCTGGGTGCAAGAACAATGTGCTAAAAAATAAATACAAGCTCCAACATTGTCTGCAGTGGGATCAAGATAAAACTTTTCTTTCCTAAATTGACTGTTTCTCTAGGACAGCTTTCAAAAGTAAAAATTACTTCTATTTGCAGTTAATTTAACTTCTATTTCATTAATTATTCATAAAAACTTAACTTTGGGGACCATTTTGGCATTCCTATTTACCAGTGAATTGCCTTTTTCATTGGAAAAGTAACATCATGTCTTAGATATTCCTGAGAACTTGGAGATATAAGCTTCTAGTGCAAGTAATATTAATGGGGGGAAAAAGGCAAAAAAAAATACACGGAAGACTTCTCATATCAAGATTAATACCAACTTTATTCTGAGGCCCCTACCTCAAGCACAGTTTGAGTGAATCATGAAATTTGGATAAATCACTATCCACTGAGCAGAGACTGTGCATACAAAATGTGAAGTAAAAAGAATGCTTTTTATGTTTTTCAGCAGAAAGGGGATGTTGTCATCTTATTGCAAAAGTTCCATACCTTGTCAGTGATTGCTCATGGTCAACTCCTCACAGCACTGACTCCTTCTTCTTCACAGCACAACCAACAAACTGCAGCTCCCTTCTCACCCAGCTAACCCACTCTTTTGTAGCACTCTTTTTCTTATTGGACACAGCTGTGGCCTGTTAAGGGCAGGCCTGCTCCTAATCTTTGGTGATTAGTGCAGCTGCCACTGCTCAGGTGTGAGACTACCTTCTGCACTATCTTTATTTTCTTACATTCTATCCCTCCACAAAGGGAAGGGGACAAAAACAAACTTATGAAGGAAAAAATCTCAGCCTTAATTACAGAAAATAAATTTCTTTTCCTACAATACTAGAAAAATTATTTCAGCTAGTGCAGCTTGACTAGATGCAAAAGAAAGCCTGTATTGTGATCTACAGGAGCAAAAATAGTTAAAAGTTGGACATAAACTGTAAATATACTCCAAGCTGGTGAGAGCATTGTTTTGTGGTACAATTAGCTGTGATTTGATTATTAATACATAGAGGTCTCTACTGTAAGCATAAATTACTGAACATCTACAGAAAACAGATGAAACTGTAAAATATGATGCTGTTGACTGTCTTGTTTGAGCTGCACATCATTCCCCAGTGCTCACAGACTTTCCCAGTCATACTGGGGTTACTTAGTACAAGTGATACCATATTATTAGATAATGCAGTCCTAACAGCAACTGTTATTATTAAGGTTCATATGTTTAAGCTCATGTGCTACTGTTTTTCAATCAGAAAACATCTGGATTTCAGAAATACCTTGCAATGTATGCACATCTGTGATACAGTGAGGAGGGTTATTGTGTGTTGGAACAGGAGATGAAATCATTAAAAGCTTCAGAGGTGAAAGACTTCTTTGACCTCACTGTTAGGGTGTTAATTTACAGTACAGTAATTTTTTTCCAAACATCCAGAGATGGACATGCATCAAAAGAAATAACCAGACTGTGCAGGGGTTACTATTAGCAGTTATGTTGCTAGTCCTCTTTGCCCCCTCCAAATCCACCCTGCTCCCTACCAGCCTTCCAGGGAAGGCAGGAGTCACGCACCCACAGAACAGCAGGCTCCCAAGGGAACAGCAGGGACTGTCCCTGTTTCCTCCAGGAATTATACGGAGACAAAGAGCCCAAAAGAGATTTGCGCCATGACCCACCCCCAGTGATGGCAGGACCTTCAGAAACACAACTGACAGACACTCTCACATGGTCCTGTGAGCCAGAGGAGCCTGGCAAGAGGAGGTGCCACATGTCATTTTGGGAAATTCTTCTCTGAAGAGAATTCTCCTCCATCAGCAACAAAGCCCCCACATGAACAACATTCTTGTGTTGTTTTGTCCAGCAGGTTCCTGGATATTTAGGAAACTGCTTCTTTTTCAGGAAACTGAAAAATAAAATAGAATTAGCAACCACTGTATCACCTCATGATCTGGAGAAATCTCACCACACAAAGCGCTACTGACTGCTCTAGTTCCAAATGTTGAAACAAAAAAAAAAAAAATCACAGATGTCCTTCAAAGAAATTCAAACCAAAGAAGGAAGAGCTAAAATGGGTAAAAATTATGTTCACCCAACCACAGTACAGCGCACTTGGGACTGTCGCTGCAGGCAGATTTGGGAATCTCCATGTTCTTCTCTCCTATCATATTAGTGCTGGTAAATACAAAAGATTTCCTAAGAGGTCAAAAAAATTTGAAGACTTTCCCCAGAACAAAAGAGCCTATTTTCTTTTCCATCCCACTTGTTTCATTTTAATCAATGTTTCCCTGTTTTAATCCCCATTTTGCCCAGCTTGAAGAACATCGTGCTGAGCAGAAGAAGCTGAAGTATCTACAGAAGAGGCAGGCCCAGATCACCAAGGAGAAGGACCAGCTGCAGAGTGAGCACAGCCGAGCCATCCTCGCCCGCAGCAAGCTGGAGAGCCTGTGCCGGGAGCTCCAGAGGCACAACAAGAACCTCAAGGTGAGCGGGAGCCTGAGCACAGTACCCAGCAGGGAGGGAAAGATGATGGTGACACCTTGCCATCTCCCTCTAGTACCAAATCAAAGGCACTTTTGCATCTGCACATGCAATATATAATAATTATATATACACTCTGATCTTGAGGTCCATTTACACCAAGATCCCTTTGTTTCTCATTTGGAAATATCCCAGCACTTTTGGACACTGGGTTTGCCCACACTAGCTCTAAGCCCTCCTTGCATTATTAGGGAGCACAGTGCAGAGAAGAGCAGTGGGACTAACAGACCATGTCCCTCAGAGTGCAAATGCAAATGCACCTGCATGGACAAAACCACAGGAACACCAGCTTTGCTCCAGTGGACTCACAGGAGGCTGGTGGGTGTTTTCATGTAATTCAAGCACTTGGACTTTCTCAAGTGATTTGTGAGGATCAGTCATTCAGGACATTTGTCTAAAGACACAAAACATCAAGACAGGAAGAATGCCAACATTATTTGTGGAAGTTATTTGGATTACCAGAATCAGTTAAAAGAGAAAATTTTTAGGGATGTCAAAATGCTGGGATCCATACACCATGTCTGCCAATTGCTTGGTGCATCACGCCATTTAAATGTGAAATTTATAATATGATTATGCTCCTTGAAAAAAAAAGTATGTTCAAGAAGAATATTTCTGTTGTGATTAAACTTTTTTTTCTGAGTGCATGTTAGTGATAGTGTTGGTATTAGTACACAAAAAGCCTCTGCTTTGATCTATTCAAGCTCTTTCTTTATGGGAATACAGTTATGTATAGAATTACACATAGGAGTTGTCAGCAGCAAGAATTCCACCTGATACAACCTCTGTTACTGGTAATGCATTTTCATTCGTTTCCACTGGCTCAGGAGTTGGCCTTCAGGGTCTTGCTCTGACTTTCATTGTGTGCTGGTAAGAGTACAACTGGGAGAGGGAATAGTCACTCATACACTCAAACTAGTGTGTGCCCTAGTAGAAGGATAAAAGCAGTTTAACACATAGGGAAGCTAGAAGCAAATCTCTCTGTCCTCAGTTATAGTCGCAAAGAACTGCTAGTGAAAATTAAATTTGTGCCTGTCATTTGTATTAGACCTGAGCCATTCCTCAATATTGATCCACAGTGATTTACCAGGCCACCTGTGGGTAAAATCTTTCAAAAGAAATACAAGCCAGTTTTAAAGTGAACTAAGGATACAGTGTACAGTGTTTTGCATTGCCTTAACTGATGTTCCTAAGCAAATCGTTATCAGTGGAACAAATCAGTGAAGACTGGGGCATCTAGAAAAACTAATTCTATTTGGAAAACATATTTGGAACAAATTTTGTTGAATTCCTCATACAGTTTCACAGCTACTTTATGCTTATTAATCTTCCTACTAGAAAGCATGATTTTTCCATTTTCTTTGTATACAAATACTTCTTTGCACATTTCATCTTTACAATTAGGAAAGTCTCTTTTCAACATTTTTTTACCTGTTGGACTGCTTTACTTTGTGACTAGGTTCTCTAAATAAAGCTATCAATTTCAGGCTCATTTCTTATTTTTATGGTGTATCTTTGCCAGGTGAGCCAGGGAATATGCCTGAGGTGATCTGGTATTAGGAAGAAGTGTTTGTATTTTCATCACTTCTTTCTAAGAATTTTGAGACCTTTTAAGAAACCCAGAATACTATCTTTCCTCAGGTTCCCATGCTATCAGCATAGAAAAAAACCCCAAATTAAATAAGACAGTAAGACAAAATACACTTGTAGAATGCATAAGAAGTAAAGTAATAAACAAAAACATTTGTTATCTTTATCCAGTTTTGTCTCTGTAAGAATTTTAGCATAGTTCTTGGAATATTTGCCATTATGCTTTAGCTCCTAGATATCTGTGAATGTCCAGAAACTCATGTTCTATTTATTTAAATGAGTGCAATTTTCTTTCACTCATGACTGTAATGAGAGGGCTCAAAACCAGAAAATCTATCAAATTGTATTTTTAAAATCTTATGCTTAAATATTTTTATTTTGGTTTTGGCAGGACAGAGATTCATAATTTTTTAGTGCTTGGGATTAGCAATTTGATTATGTTTCAAAACGTGAAAAATAGAAGCTAGGAGGCTGTGTCATTTCAATAGCAAAGGAGAAAGCTGACCTGCCCTGATCAGAAACCCCCTCTGACTTACCATGTGGTACATTATATGCACATCATGTCATGTAAATGTCATCTTCACTCATCTGGTGTGTGGAATTCCCATTAACTGCACATCCGTGCAGCCAAGTGGTGATGAATATGTATTCAATGCAGAGCTGCATTGAAAATCCACAGGGCAGATCAGAGAAGGAAAATTTCTGCTTAGTATTGGATACCAGCCTCAAATTCTCACTTACATATAGTCCAGCTACTCTGATTATTTCCTTGCAGTTACACAGATGTTTAATTCTCCCTCCAAGAAAAGCAGAATAAAGGTTTGTGAAATAGCAGAATGTGTTCCCACTGCAATAAAGAGCAGCTCTGCTGAGAGCAACAGCAACTCATTTCTCTGCATGGAGTTCATGTTCTGCCAATTATCTGACAGTTTGGTAGCTACTTAGCATCTTGTAGTGACATGAACATCTCAGGTCCCTCGTCCTCCCTGCCACCAGGCATTAAGCAATGACTTTCATACAAATGTCACAAAAGTCAACAGCTTTAGCTATGGGCTCAGCTCCAAACTGGCTCAGACCGTGGTGCCTGGGAATGAAGAGCACGGTTCATTGAAAAAAGGATTCCTCACTCATATCATCTTGGCTGATACGGCTTCAGCAGACCAATAGTGCCCCAGAGAGGCACGAGAACAACTCCAGTATCAATCACACTCTTCTGTTCACAAATGATCTCACATTCCTGTGCTAAATCCCAAACTGCAAAATATCCTGCCTTAATTTTAACAAGGTTTTACATTCTTACATTCTTGGCAGCAAAACATGAGAGCAAAAGCAGTATGGCACTAGGACAAGAACATATGTTTGAAAGGGTAAACAGGGAGTGCAAAGGTTCAGAAAGGGCAGAGAAAAGAGAACAAGAGTTTCTGGCTGGTCTCTGCTCAGTGCTGTAGCCACGCTGTTGTCCTTCTGCTCAGCCAGTTCCCTTTAATCTGTGACTGGGATCTCAAGGATTTAACAAATGAGGGCCTCTGAGGAGCTCCCCAGGACACACACCAGCCCCCATCCCCAAGCAAATATCCTTCTCAAGTATATTTTTCTCCAAAGCAGAACAGATACAGAGAAATCCTGCATCCTGCAAATAAATGCTTGCTGGCTCAGTGTCTTTAACCATGAATCTTTGTATTGTCTCTGTGCTTTGTATTGTATCATTTTTCTACCTCAGAAGAGCAGGAAGTAAGATCTTCTGAGTAACACATATGCAGAGGGTTGGGGTTTTTACATTTGCATGATTGGTAGTCTCAGGATGTCTCGTTTCACCTCGTAACAGAACTGTTTGGTGTGACATATGCACAATCCACCTTTTTTGGTTTATATTCATATGGACTTATTACTCTGGAGAGCTTTAAATCACAGCAGTGACATGTTATAAGGCTACCTGCATTAGAACAATAAAATGTTTTTGAGGAAGGATGTTTTGAAGCCACAGAGAGACAACTTCAGACATGCAAGTTCAATTTCTCACTCTGACTTCTGGAAGTGAAGCACCTGCACTCTTCTGCCTACTCAGGGCTGCACCTATGTAATGGAGAACTAAGAGGCATGAGGAGTTTTTTAAACAGTTTATTGGAGATAAAATGGAATTCTAACTTAATTAAAACTACCTAGGAATTCAAGTCAAATTTGGAAAAAGTTTCAAATAAAAATAAAAAGGTTGACATTGTTTGTAAACATGCCCTTTCAAAAGAAAATTAGATGTTTCCTTTTGGGAATGCTAAATCAATAGATCTAAAACATCTTTTGAGCGGCATTTTTAACTCTGCTTTGGAAGGTCATTCTTCTGCTAAAAGGATTTAAACAAAAAATACCCACAAACAGCTCTATTGCTGGTTAAGCAAAATGTTTCAAAATAATTCTCACCAACTGAGAGAAAAAAAATTGGAGAGCTTCTCTTTCATCTTGATGCAAATTTACTGTATGTTTCATTTCCAAGCCAGGTACTGAACCAAGATCCAACCCCCAGGTCATTTGCCCAGTTCCACTTGAAATTTTTCCTTCCTATTAGCAGAGAGAGTCCTTCTGGGTCCACACTTTGTATTACTATTTATGAATACACACACAGGTTCTTGTGTGAACTGCAGAGCACAGCAGGGCTCCGTGCACTAGGGTATCATTAATGGCTCCATTGCTTTCCTCCCATCATCCAAGGTGTTGGCATCCCTATTGCTCCCTGGACAGCAAAAGGACAAACATGCCCTACCTTGAACAGCAGCTGTCCTAGATCAGGCTCGTGCTGTGCATGCTAAGCAGAAATTGGGTCATTTGGTATTCACCTTACTTTATGAGCAGGGCCCAAATCAACGCCTGCTATGTCACATTCATGATACAAATTATACCTTATTAGAGTCAGCCAAGGCTTTATTCAAATATTTTTATAGAAAATATCCATATGCAGTGTTACCAGAGATTTTTATGCAAATTACTATGATAGTTGAAACCTTATTAGAGTATGGCATTTGCATTCTGTGGAGTGAGTTTTTAGCGTGGTCCTGGCCTGATTTGTAACTACAGCAGATATGGTCTAGCAATTCTATATCAGGATTACCTTCCCCAGAAGGGCAGACTGCCCTGGAAGAAAATGAGGAAGGAATAAAAATAGTCGGTATTACTGGATGCAAAGCAATGAATCCAGATCCTTTCTGCATTGCCTTTTATATAAACAAATCTAAAACAGAAGTTCAATAATAGGGAAACAAATTAAATCTGAATGTCTGCTTTAATTCCGTAGGAAACAACTTAAAAGCTTTCCTTGAATTCACTAGCTAGTAAATTAGTGCAAATATTTATGTCAGTTAAAAAATTAGGGAAGGAAAATTGGAAGGGGACTGGAAGGGATTCCTCAGCAAGTGATGGATTTCTCTTAAAAATTTAAATCCCAAAGGCCATGACTTTGATATGAAGATTCCTTGTTAAATTGAGGCATTGTAAAAGGTGATTTTTTAATTCAGTCAAAGACAATTTTGATAAAAAAGCTTTTGACTGTTTCCACTAAATATCTTTTTCCAAAGAAGAAGGTGTGATGCAGTATCATGAATCAAGACATGCATGTATGTCCTCTCCTTCAGGCTTGCTTTGACCTGAAGCTCTGCTCTACATCCATCTTTATAAATGCAAATTCTTACTTCCCTAATTTTTTCAAGGCCGCTGTGTAATTGGCTCTGTAAATTTAGAATCTTGCCTAATGCTGGAGCAGATGAAAGCAAGAAAATCTCCAAAGAGGAATGCAAACACGTATAATCCTTCAAAGGGAAGCCTTATGCTACTCTGAAACAGTATTTTTTGGGAACTGCTTATTATGCCTCTCACTTACTGTGTTCCCTCCCATTTAACAACAGGAGGAAACAATCCAGCGGGCACGGGAGGAAGATGAGAAGAGGAAAGAAATAACTAATCACTTCCAGGGCACCCTGAGTGAAATCCAGGCTCAGATCGAGCAGCAGAGTGAGAGGAACATGAAGCTCTGCCAGGAGAACACGGAGCTGGCCGAGAAGCTGAAGAGCATCATAGACCAGTACGAGCTGCGGGAAGAGGTGAGCGGTGCCCCGGCCGCTGCCGGGGATGGCAGCACGCTATCCGGCTGTCCCGGGGGACCAGGAAGCACTGCCCGCAGCCTGGCCGTCGTTCGGCTGTCTCACGGGGTGGCCCCACCGTGCTTTGCCCTCCGAGCAGCGCCGGGCCTGCAGCAAGGCCTCTGCGGTGTGGGGCTGCGTGGGACAGCGCCCGCCCGTGGAGCCGCGGCTGCCTTGCTGTGAGGGAGAGGGCTGAGGCACCCGAGCAGCCAGGGGTGCCAGGTGTCTGCTGAGCTGCCCAGCCCCGTCACAGCTCCCCCAGACCCCCGGGGACCTCCCCCAGCATCCCTTTCCTCCTTCCCACTAAGCTCTCTCTGGGTACACCCCAGCTCCCTTTCCTTTAGCAGCCTGTTCTTCAGGGGACAACAAATATATTTTGTTCCCTCCAGAAGCAGGTTGCTGAGAAGGGCTCTGATGTAAACTATTTGACCCTTTCCCAAAAGCAGAAAATTAGGATGACAGATAAAGGAGACCCTTTGAATTTAAATAGATTGTTTTTTTTTTTTTAATTTTGACATCAGAAAAAAATCCTCCAGTAAAATCCCAAACTATCTTTTTTTTTTATTTTATGACAAACATCAACAAATATCACAATGGGTCTTTTTATAGTTTCTAAATACATTTACTGTGAGCCTCAGTGCAATCAGACAACATTATCATACTGAATAAAACATAAGTTATCTATCTTTACAATCTGGAATGACTGATACAATACCTGCTTTTCCAAATCTGTTGAATCATGTATGAATTTCTATACTGAATGAAGGAAATGTACACTCCTCTCTTGTGGTGTCTATGAGAAGAAAATGTAAACCAGAGGGACACACACAGAATAATTGCTCCTATGAATTTTATCTAAGTGAATGAAGAGTGAAGAAGGCTATCAGCAACATTTATCTCCTGAAAGTCACCATGGAGGCAGACAATTTACAGGCTGGAGGAGGCCTCTGGTTTGTTTGGTCTCAGATCCCCACTCATGTCCTGTCACCCAGGCCCTCCATTGCGCAGGTGTGTCCAGACCAAAGGGGATGTGCTGGGCTTGTATTTACTCAGAGGCTGTCATGGGCTGTGCATGTGCTCCCAGTACTGCAGGTGCAAGGTGTCTACACCATCATCCACACTGTGGCCATTTAACAGCTAAAAAAAGTGTGTCCTCAGCACTGTTATTATTGGTGAGCAATTATTTGATCTTCAATCATACTAGATTGGACTGATCACTGCATATGTAGATCATAGAACTGGCAAAGATGCTAAGGCTTTCTTTTTTTTCATATAATAAATCAAAATTGATAATGTACACCAGCTTCCCTTCCCATGTTAATTCTGACACAGTTTATTCTTATCACAGCTGTAACGCTTCAGTAATTGCAATAGGAGTGTCTTCTTGTTTTGCAATGATTTTGTCTTTTAAGTGTTCCAGTAAATAGCTGTACATGTACAAGCATGAAGGTCTGTGTAGATAATTAAACCTGCACATTCAGCAGATTTTTTTTTTTTTTTACAGCACCTTGACAAAATATTTAAGCACAGAGAACTTCAACAAAAACTGGTGGATGCCAAGTTGGAACAGTCTCAGGAAATGATGAAGGAAGCCGAGGAGCGACACCAGAAAGAGAAGGAATATGTATGTGCCTATCCTTCTAATTTGTCTGTCTTTCATCTAGCTTTAGGCCAAAACAAGCCCTGCATGCTATTTCATGAATATATTCAGGTCCAATCTGGGGTACAGTAGCAGAGAAGTTTTTATAGCTACCATCAGTGCTCAATGCAAAGGAACAGCCTCTGAAAGGCTGCTTTCTTTGTCATTTACAGTTTTAGAGCTAAACCATCAGAGAGGAGACCAAGAACATGCGATTGAAGTGAAATGGCTGAAGGCTGCTATTCCTCCAGGTTCCAGGCATGCTGCCATGGATCCACTTTTGCCCTGGAGGAATCCACAGGAGCCACTTGCTCTTACAAAGCCTCCCTTTCACTGCTTCCCTCCTTATACTGGTTTGCCTCTGTCAGGCAGGCAGGGTCTGGATCCGTCTAGCAGCTTTGTCTGCTCTTCCTTCCTTTCTGGAGGCAAGGACATCTCTAGCAGGGGGATAGGGAAAAGTAAGAGACATGTCCTCTGCAGGCACAGCTGGGATGGAAGGAGGACACTCCTCCATCTGTAGTCTGACACATTTTGTGACTCAATCAGACTAAAATTAATTTTCTCAGACTGCCTGGTATTTTCACAGCAATCCTCACATCCACAAAGGATCGGAGTTCAACGCAGGCACGTGGTCCCTCTTCTCAGTGGAGGCAGCAGCTCTCAGGGGGAGTGACAGGCTCTCATCAGCTGCAAGAAAGGCTTAGTTTTCACCAGTCCTCCAGCTAACTCAGGAGCAGCATGAGAGATTTCTATAGAGAGGACATTTATCCCTTCCCCGTATCTGGAAACAGATATATTAGCACAAGCATGGCTTTAATGGGTATCTTAAAATACTCAAAATAGATGAAAATATGGAGCTCTAAGACTTGTTGTTAGGGCACAAAGGAAACACAGCATACACCTCTTACCAAAAACAGCCCATAAGAGCATTTATCCTCTTTCTCTGAACTTATCTCTCAGCTGGAACACCCACTCCTGTTCAGCTTTACTCCCTGCTAAAGAGTGAGGGTGAAAATGAGCTGGGGCTTCTCGGTGCAAATCTGCATATCACTGCATTACAATCTGTAGTCCAGCTGACTTATTCTCCTTCCCTCTGAAACCTACATAAAGCCAAACCCCACAATTTCATTCATGACCATCGATTCTTGGCAGATTTAAACTCCAAAAATCTCCAGATGTCCAAGAAATCACTTATAATGGCAAAGCAAATATGGGCTTACTTTACTGAAGTCACTGGGAGTTCTGCTAATGAGTACCAGATTTCAAATACTGAGGGGGGAAAAAAACCTCAGAACAAGAGATATAAAAGACCAAGCATTGGCTCTGTGGAAAACTGGCATATACAGCCTTGTGTCAATGACTTTTCATACTGCACCTCTCAGAACATGAATTTTGGGGCTGCTTGTCATCTGTGACTGTCCCTGTTTTAGCCAAACCTTCTTTGCATGTATTATCCAGAACTGGTATGCACAGATTTGGTATTTTCATTTCTTTTAAAGCACTGAAAGTCATCACTGTCTACAATTGGGAGTGGAAGATTTTCTTTTGGGCTTTGCTGTGTGTAAGAAATAACAGGTTTGAAAACAAGCTACAAAACCTTTACGCAGTGGGTGTATAATGGCATGCACAGTGTACAAAGAATATTTTTCCCATTGTCCAAATGAATTCTTAAAAATCCTGTCCCTGAGGTAGGCTGGTGGTGTGGGGCTAACATCACCTCCAAGCAAGGTAGATTTAGCTGCAGAAATGAAGGCCAAAAGCCATGCAATGAGTCAAGGCATAATTAGGCATGTCACGATGCATCACGGGCAGCCCAGCACCAGAGAGCTGGCTTACACTTGGCTCCCACCTCCATCCTATTGATGTGCTCTTAGTCCCTCCCACCCAGCCATTGTGCTAGCGTCTGTGGGAGTAATGTATATACATATATGTGTGAAATCAAGGTGCTTTTGATGGAGTTCTCTCACTTAGCTGTAACTCTCTCCAGCTCAGTAATGTGCAAAGTTAGAACAGCTTTCAGAATCTTTCTCTCCATAGAATTTTCTCATCCCTGTGTATGACCTTTGCTGCACGATTTTGCAAGTGTTCTTAAATGAAAATTATTGTATGCTTTTATCTATTTGATTACTCTTTGAAGGCTCACTTTGATGCCTTCCCATGCACTTCTTCCATGTGGGAATCTTTGCCCCTGTGCAAAACCTCTTTACCTCAGACAATGAGAGGTGTTCCCTCTTGCAAAGCGTGTGCACCTCAGAAGGAGGTCATCTCACTGCTTGCACAGTTCACTCTATGCATTCACCAAAGAATGCAATTCCCTGTTGAAGCAGCAGTGGTTCCTAATGTGTGGTTTCCACAAAGGGACAGCTTGACCTAAGGATGCTATTTTATCACCATCCCACAACTGGTCAGCACGACATAATTGGAATTTACAGAGTCTGACAGCAAAAAGAGAAGTTTAATTTTCACTAAACCAGCCCCTGTGACTGTCTGGGCCTCCAGCAGCTACCATAGCTCTAATAATAGAGTGTAGCATCACCACCCTTCACTAAAGTGCTGCTCTGTAAACACCACATGCAATATTTATTCGTTTCTTAATACTTCAGCCTCCTTGTTACCACTTCACAGTCTATTAATAAATGTATCAGTTCTGATTCATTTTCTCCCAGCTTGGTGTTTGCAGATGACCTCAGGCTGCATAAGAACATGTGCTAATTTGAGCAAGCCTCTCTGTGGCTTGCTTCCATTACAGAAGAGTTTATTAACTCTTGGATTTTTGTTGACTGCAGAAGTTATGTGGGTCAATAAGAAAGAGGGATTTCATTAAGAGGCAAAAGAAGCAACTTTTCTTTGCCTTCTCTGTCCATCTGTGGTGCTGTGGCCAAAGACCTGGTGTAGGAGGTGGGACCTTTTCATTATTCCAGTCACATTGGGTATGGAGGTAACCCCAGCTGAGATTGAAGCAATTCAAATAAAAGTCCAGTCCTTGAAAGTAATGACTGGCCTAGGGACTGGGTAGCTCTGAAAGTTTTGAAGCACATTTCATTAAATCATTCAAACCCTATAAATTTTAAAAGACATTCTAAAAAATTAGATATCAAAGAAAGGTGAAATTTAAAAATCCAAATTTCATCCAGACTTTAAAAAAATTTATTAAATTTTGTGTACATGAAAAGCATACTCTCTTCTGAGAAAATAAATGCACAAACTGATGCTCATTTAACCCATGCGAACTCTTTTTACTGGCCATGGCATATCCTATTTGAAATTTTAATCAACAAGACCTGAATTAAAGGACTTGATTTATCTCCATGGAATCAAATTAAATTCTCAAAATAAATATTGAGGCAGATATAAAATAAGTACAACACATAATTTCTTCATAATTGAGCTGTAAAACATTCTTATCTAGGAAACTTTAGATGTTAAAAATTCAGTGGGTCCAAATTAAAGGGCTGAATTGATGAAATATTTTTCTAGAGCCAATATACAAATGTTTATATATGCAGCAAATCTAATTCAGATAGTCTCTGTGCCACAAACAACTGGAGACCATCAGCATTTTAGGGTTCATCCTCAGCTCTTTTACCAGGTGCTATTTGCATAGTTTACATGTGTTATTTCCAATAAAATGGCTAGAATAAAAGTTTTTACTGAGGATCAAATACATTTTTGGCATGTGCTTCTACTTGCCTTCCACTTCCAATATAAGATCCCCTGACATACACAGTCCTTTTAATTATCAATATATTTTTAGAGCCCAGCTGTGCTGTTTTAAATACAATTTACAGTACAATTTAAGTTCAATTTAGTCCAACAGAGCAAAATCCTGTGGTAAAATAACTTCTTTATGTCTCATTTCTCAAGCTATCATTAGCATTCATTTTCTAAAATATATTTGGCCTGACTAATAAAACACTTTATAAATGTTTGGTAGACGACAGGGACATTTCTTTAACACCCTGGTAAATGTTTCCTGCTTTTAGATTAAACCAATTGCTAAAATATTACTGTGTACTCTGGAAGTGCTGACTCAGAACTGTAGCCAGGAAAGGTCTCTGCAAACCTCATTCCTATGGTTCGTTCAGCCTTGACCAATCCTCCACCTGTTTTATCTGCAGCCTGCAGATCAGAATGTGATTTTGCCAAGCACCTTGGAGCAGGAAAGCACACCTTCCCAGGAGAAGCCAGGGAAGAAATTGCAGTCAAGCTCCTCCTGGGCTGCCTACTTAACCTGAGACATTTATCACCCTGAGCTGGAATTCTCCACTTGCCAGGGCAAACAGAGCCCAAAGATAACAGACAGCAGTAAATGTATGACATTTGCTATGCACTGGACTGCTGAAAACTCCCAGATTTTTTGCTGCAGGTCTGACTGTGACCATCCCCACATACTAACTCAGGGTTGTTAATGCGAATGGAAGTTTGCCATTCACTGGAGAGCAGGAATTTGGCTGGAGCTGTGCTGAAATGAATGCGCCAGAAAGTACCATAACCATTCTCTAGAAGTCTGGTGAAGATGTGGTTAAATACCACAGTTTTTATAGCCCACTGTACTGCACACTTAATTCCAAGTAGGTTTTGAACTCCTATTCAAATATGCCCATGGAATGCAAATAGCCTGTCCCACGTCTCAGGATAACACTAAATAGTCTGCCTTACCTAACTGCTCTAACTATATTCACCTCAAAGTTAGGCCACTCCTTATCACAGTAACATGAGGAGCTGGAGCATGAGGTTTTCCAACTGATAATCTAGGGACCTAACAATTTTTTCTCTGTTGCCCAAAACACAGCTCCTGAACCAAGCTGCAGAATGGAAGCTCCAGGCCAAAATGTTAAAGGAGCAAGAGACTGTCCTGCAGGCACAGGTGACGTAGGAGAGGTGATTGCATGGTGTGCCTTTGTTTGCCAGTTTTTAACCCATGAGGCACAGCCCAGGTAAAGTATCCAAACTACTTTCTGTGTATTCCTTCTAGCCTCATTCTACATCTCATAGACTATTGCAAAGGAAGCAGGTTATTTTCGAGCCAACTGTAAGGTAATGCCCATACTGCAAATCACACTCTGACATGTGGGTTGTTTAGTCTAAAGAAGAGAAGAAGCCCTTTTTGCAAATTTTTGGTATAAAAGAGGCTTACAAAGATGGAAAGAGATTTTTTTGCCAGGGCATGTGATAGGACAAAAAGTAAAAGTTTTAAAGTGAAAGAGGAGAGACTTCTTTTACATATGAGGAATAAATGCTTTGCTGTGGGCTGGTGGGACACTGGAAAAGGTTGCCCAGAGAAGTTGTGGGTGCCCTGTGCCTGGAAGTGTTCAAGACTGGCTGGATGGGGTTTGAAGTAACCTGGTCAGTGGGAAGTGTCCCTGCCTAAGGCAGAAGGATTGGACTACCTGATCTTCAAAGGTTCCTTCTGACTCTAATAATTCTAAAGTGCTGATTTATGAGTATTTACAGTGCTCAACCACAGAACTATGTGTGTGCCTTAATTATTTACCATAACTAGCCTTCAGGCAGGTTTCTTATACAGCAAAGCACTGGAGTACATACATATCAGGAAACAAGTTTACCAAACTGGAGCTGCTGTGCCCATATGCTTTTCTGAACTGGGGTGCAAAGGCAGCATTTTCATTAACTTTAACAGGAATTCTGTTTGCTAAGGGCTTATAAAGAGGGGTCTCTAGGATTTCAGTGCTTAACTTCATTACCAGGAGTCAAGCTGGAGTAAAAGGCAGTAAAACCAAGCCATAAGCAGAATATACTACACTTTGGGAGCAATGCAATAATCACCTTGAGTTTTTGAGTGAGACCTTGAATCAATGAGTGAGAGCACTAGATGACATCAAAAAGAGAGAGTGTCAGTAAATTTTTCTACATTTAAGAAACAATTATGTAGATTCTTTGACCTGTCTGTGAGAAAGATTCCCCCCAGGCAGAACCTTGAGGGGGGTGGTGTCAGTCTGTAAGCCCCTCTTGCAGCTGCCAATCTCCTCTTCCATCAGGAAGTGCCTCCCAGCCCTTGCTCACAGTTAATCATACAGGCAAGTTGTCCCAGCTTTTTCCTTGCAGATGGTCTAATTGCTGCCTCTTGAGCCATCAAGAAATTTCAGTGTTAAACTGATAACCTGGACACCTGCTAAGAGGGGTTTAGTTTTTAGTGTGTTTTTTCAGAGGCTGAGATAAGCCAGTGGCACACCAAAGAACATCATATAAACTGCTGCTGACAATAGTTTGACAGGTTCTGCAATGAAACCTCCAAGACCTCCAACTGAGTCTGTCCTGTCTGCAAACCTGCTCCCAATTTTCTCAGAGTGGTTTTAATTAAACTTTTATGATCAATCAGAAGAAAAAAATTATGCAGGCAGCTATTAAGCTGGAGTTATTGATAAAAAATAGAACATTTGAAAGAGAAAAGGTGTTTTTAGAAAACACCAGTCAAGTCTGTAAAAGCATTGAGAATACATGTGCTCCTCCCAGGCTTGTGCAGACAAAAATTTGATTTGCTTCCTGAAATGAAATATGCAGTTAAGTGTGTTGCTCAGGTGTGAGAGCTCTGTCACTTACCTACCAGCCTTCATTTTGAATTAACAGGAATAATAATAACATTATTAATATTATTTTTTAAAATTTTTATTATTTCCAGTATGGTAGCACCAAAGGACCTCCTTCATGGGCCAGATGCTGTAATGCAAGGTGTTGTGCAAGTGCAGAACAGAAAGAGCATAAAGAGCTCTTTGACACAAACAACACAAAGCAATAAATAGATATTATACCCTATCCCAGGAAGTGTTCTAGGAGAGGTTGGATGGGACTTTGAGCAACCTGGTCTAGTGGAAGGTGTCCCTGCCAGTCTTTGGGGTCCCTTCTAACACAAGTCTTTCTATGATTCTGAGATTAACAGAGGAACACCTGCATGGAAATTTGTGAGAAGATGTTGGGTCAGTGAGACAGGGAGAAGCCATAATATAACCTTCACAGTGAGATATCACTCTGCTTCAGAGGAGGTGATGAACACCCACTTCTTCCTTGAGTTGGAAGGAGCTGGGGACACCATATTCATGCCAGCCGATCTCTGGATGGCCAATGTGCCAGAGACAGCCAAATCCGGCACTCCAAATGGTGACAGGGGTCTGGCACCAGCTGAGGAGGCACACACAAACTGTGGTGGCGCTTCCCAGGATGCTCCATGCTCTCCCCAGGCATGATGCTTAGGCAGATTATTTTGGCTTCATGCATTGAAACCAAATAAAAAGATAGAGGCTGGCCAAGACCTTTAATATTTGGTAGCCAGCATAGGGCAACCACTAAACCATGGCAACCAAGAAGAACACAACAAGGCCAAAGGGGTGCCCCCATGGTAGCACCCTCTTGCCATGGCAGTGCTGAGGAGCCTCCACTTCCTAAAGCCTTGCACTCAGAGCAGTGCTGCCTCTGCCCTCCCTTCCCACAGTCCGGCTGGATACAACAAGGCAATCCTCGTCTCCCTGATCTTGGAGCACAAGTGCATGCTCCCAGTGAGTGACATCTCTCACAGCCTGTTCCCAGCCACTGTGAAAACATTCATTTATTATTCAGTTTAAATTGCAGAAGCTATTCTTAGTGCTGTGGTGCTCCTCAGGGACCCAGCTGAGGTCAGAGCTTGCCCTGTTCAAATGTGAAATGTTTTTGACCTAATTAAACAATACACAAAAATTGGAAGGGAAAGCAGAGACAGACTTGAGGTGAGCTTTCTTAAAACAGATCTGGGCTAGGAGCCTCAGTTCTCTGACTCCCACCTCTGCTCCATCACCTGGCTTTGGGAAGCTCAGGCATTTCTCCTTAGAGCTGTGACATCTTTTCCAAATGTCAACATTCCACTACTACACCAGGTAGCAGTGTCCCACCTAGGCTGTGGAACTTGGGCTGCTAAAACAAATCCCTCTGAGTTTTTGTTTGTGCCTAGGTCACAGCTCTGGCTACAGCCTTGTATAAACACAAACATGCAAGCTTCATGTCAGCTAGCTCTGACACTGGTGCCATGGAGTGCTCTGTATGGGTTAACATCTCGCATCTTCACCCAGCTCCGTGGGGAACGGCTGCAGCCTGTGCCCTCCTCTCACCCTCCCAGGCCCTTCCAGCCCAGGTTATACCTGCCTGGAAACCTGCATTTGTGGCTGTGGCAAGGGGCACCATAACATAACAACCAGCTTGAACAAGCATGATACATAACATAACTGTACTTGATGTCAAAATCAGAATGAAACCCACCCCAATATTAGCAACGTTTTCTAAAACTTCTTTCCCTCAGTGACTTCACAGAAGTATCAGGGGTGAGTTGGCTAAAGAAAATTTAGCCAACACTAAAGAAAATTTCCTAGATAATCCTTTTTCCAGCTCCCTGCTGGTGTGGAGAAAGAGGCAACCAGCTTCCACCCACACATTGGAATACTGCAGGCTGCTCTTCACCCTCCCAGTGCTCTGCAGCCACCCTGTCTCAGCCACCACATGTGACACCATGTGACACTTTTCCTAAGAGCTGCCAGGGTGGACAGATGAAATGTCTGACGACCTAAATATTTCTAGGGATGTTCTGGCACCAGAAGGAATGGAACAAGCTGGAGCTGGTTTTCTTTTCCAAAGGGAAAAAAAAAACCCCAGGAAACAAACAAACAGACAAACAAACAAACAAACAAACAAAAACCAACAAAAAAAACCTACAACAACAAAAACCAAACAGTGCAGGAAAAGCCGAAAATGAGAAAATCTTACAGAAACACTAACCTCAGATCTTTAGAACATTTGTTCCTCCAACACCATCTGCTTATTTTAGATACAAAAAATTGTAATAATGAAAAAATACAGCCACAGATAAACTTTCACATGGCTGCCAGATATAAACTGACAGCAAAATATGGAATCCTGGTAGTCTGAAATGCTGGCACATTGCAAGAGAATTTTATTCTGCTCTGCTCCTCAGAGTGAAGTGAAACTGGCAGAAGAGGCTGGCTGGGCATGGCTTGCTCTGTCTTTGCTGGCCTTGCCTACAGCTGCAGTCCAAAACAGAGCTGACAAGGTTCCCTCTTAGCTTGCTCAAGCTGTGGTGCAGGGATGCATCCTGAAGGAATCCAGTGCAGATTCACAGCAGTGTGAAAGTGAAGGGTGGGCTTTGTTTACATGCCAGGTAACACAGAAAGTGAGCAGTGACACTCCTCTCCAACAGGGGAGTGCAGTGAAGCACATCAAGCACTGCCTGTGCAGCTCCTGGCCAAGCCTGAGACACCAGGCGGAAAGATGGAAGAAGGGAAACCACGACTGCAGCGTGGTGTGGGGATGCCTCTCCCCCAGCTCACTTGGACATCCAAAGCATCCTAGCCAGGGCAGCACCCGGGTCCCAGCCCGGCTGGAAGAGTGCTCAGAGAAATCCCCAGGGCCGGTGAACAGCCAGGCAGCCATGCAGTATTGACCTCCTCTGCCAGGGCTGAAACCCCCAGGTTAGAGCTGGGGTTTGGTGACATCTGCATGGTGAAGCAAGGCTTGGAGCTCAGGCACAGCCCTGCTCACGCTGGCTCTCACCTTGAGTTAATCACACTGAATGGTCCTGCACAGCATCAGTGCTTGGACCAGCTCAGGTTAGTCCTTGCCCATGGAGATGGGCCAGGGATCAAAGCAAGGGGAATGTTTTCACAAGTCTTATATCTACAGAATTACTTTTCTTCTGGACACCCTGTATAGGGATACCACAGCTGCAACATTCAGGAGAGGAGGGCATCCATAACTCCAAAGTCTTTTTAAAATCACTTGCCGGACTCTTTCTATTCTTACTCATCTTTCTGCAATGGAGGAATCATAATAGTTTGCAACGATAAAAAGTTGCAAAGAGTTTCTGTGCTTTCATGGTCTCCAAACAGAAACTAATTTCCATGCCCAAACATAATATTTATTTTATTATCTTCTACCAAAGTAGAAGTTCATCATCCTGGATGTTCTGAAATTAGTGAGGTTCTTTTTTTCTCTCTGTTAATACAGATCACTCTGTACTCTGAAAGATTTGAAGAATTTCAGAAAACGTTGGCCAAAAGCAATGAAGTGTTTGCCACATTCAAACAGGAGATGGAAAAAGTGAGTAGGAGCTCATGCCTGAACTCTGTAATTGATACTTTCCTTTTAGATTTTGATATTTCTCACTCTAATAATTCTACCTGAGATGGGACCATCTCTGCACATTTTGAAGAATAATTTCATCAACATTCAAATAAGATTTAGGACACACTCAGCCACGACTGACAGCAGGTTGGATTTCAGCTTTGCAAGCTGAACAGCAGAAAGGAGAGTAGAAAGTTCTCCATTTCAGCTAAAACTGAAAGTGCCTGGAAGAACAAATATTTTACTTAAAATATAATGTGGTGGTTAGATACAGATCCTTGAAACATCCCAGAGGGGGAGTCTGGAGCCACATTTATCAGACCATGTTCCCGGGAGTGCCCAGAACCTTCTAGGTGACTGACACTGGCACAGAGAGTTTGACATAGGCTACACATCTTTTACTAGAGTGTGTAGGCAGAGCTGAAGCCCACCAACCCCTTTACACCATGTGGAAACCATCCAAGAGACTGTCTCCTTGCAGCTGGGGTTCTTATTTCCTGTAATGAATGGGAGTTAAAAACCAAACACATCTACGTTTTGTACATACTTGTAATAAACAATGTTCTGCTCTGCCACCAAGGCTCAAAATCCTCACACCCTGATCCAGGCAGCACCTAATAACTCTTCACAGAGAGTCCTGCCTGCAGAAAATCATCAGGAAAAGTGGTGCTATTTAGCTAGTGGTGTGTTCTGGAGGTAGTATAGAGGGGTGAGTCGTCCAGGGGGAATTTCCCTGGCCTTGAGGACTCAGAAGAGCCCCTCTTTAACTTCCCAGCAGTCTAGCACTGTAGTCTGGTAAAGAGACAAACAGAATCCACCAAATTCTTTGCCTTTTGTTTTCATGGTAGTTTGTATGCTGGAAGTTGGCTTTAATCAACTGGTCCTATTGTTGGGACTACAGACTAGAGGCTGAAAGTGATATAGCAGCTACTTCAAATGAAATCCATCCCTCAACATAAATTATTACTTAGCACAGACATTACAGCTGCTGGTAGCAGAGCTCTGAGCAGGGCCAAAGACTTGAATAAAGGGGCTGCCCTAATTTCATCTTTAGCATGGAATTTCTGTTGTGATGTAGCTTTTCTTCCTGATTCTACAGATGACAAAGAAAATGAAGAAGTTAGAAAAGGATACTGCTACATGGAAATCCAGGTTTGAGAACTGTAACAGAGCATTACTGGACATGATTGAAGAGGTGAGCAGTCTTTCCCATCTCAAGATGCATCCTTTTCCCCACGTAAAACTTTAATTAGGAGATGAGATAATCCCAGAAATCAGTGAAAAAATTCTTCTTGAATCTAAGGGTCTTTCTTTCAAGCTACCTTGATAATTGGATGTCTTTAGAGAAAAAAGACAATCCCAGCTAGTAGTGCTTTTAGATTGTGCAGGCATCCACTACATCCATGAGAAACTGAATTATGTAACTCTGAATTTTAAGTGCTCTAAAAATGGGTGATTCTCAATGCTCTCCCATACAAGCAAATTGGCATTAGTTCACTTCATGCTACTTTCTGCATAAGAGCATCCACCCAGGGAATTAATGTGTTCTAGCTAATGAACTTTAAAATCATGCCTTTCATTAACTTCCTGTGTAGTCAGACTCTAAGAGTCAAAAGCAAGTACTGTGTCTCTCCATACTTTTAAATGTGCTGTCCCAGGGGCATTGCAAAGGAAGTTCATAAGCACATTGGAACTCATAACTCATTCAAAGAAGATAAGAGGCTGCCTGAAGTTTCACCCCAAACATAAGCTGAACCGGGACCAGATCTTTCTGGTTAGCTTTGTAGCTCTGTGCTATTGCTATTTCTATTTTTATGGATTTCTGTATCTCTTGTTTCCTCACTGGGTGTAGAAAATGTTCCAATTCAGGTTGCTCTTACAGAGCCCAGAAGCAAGATAAACAAACAAAAAAAAAATGCAGCTCATTTGCTTCCAAATTCACACCCACACCAACCAAAAGTCTAAGCAGGCTTTGGGTTGCTTGTCTGCATGGACATCCACTATGCTTTTCCATTTCTCCAGAGCATCAGCAGGTACTCCTGCAAATACATTTGAGTGAAATTGATCTGAATATGTATCCAGAATTTTAATACATTGTAGTTACAGGGATGAATTTCCTCTTGAATCTTCGGTCCAAAACACCATAGTTATTGAAGAGCAGCTGGTGAAAGCCAGCCACCTGGCAGCATCCTCTGAAGGCTGCTCAAATAATTTCCTAATTGCCAGTTCCACTAATGAATTGTATGCACCCAAACTGAGCCTGTACCTTTGCCTGATGTCTTTGACTACAGAAAGCCATGAGGTCCAAGGAATATGAGTGCTTTGTGCTGAAAATCCAGAGACTAGAGAACCTCTGCCGTGCTCTGCAGGAAGAGAGAAATGAATTGTACAAAAAAATAAAGCAAGCACAGTTCCCAGAAGAGGTGAATGGAAATGGCATCTTAGAAGAAGAAGAAGAAGAAGATGATGAAGAAGATGATACTAAAACAACGCCTTCCCCCTCTGAGCAGGAGAGCATTGAGCTGCATGAGAGTGACAAGAGGATGCTGAAGCAGCTGGCTGAAGCTTTCAGGGTGTCCCACAGGGCAGAGGAGTCCCTCTCAAGCAACAGCAGCAATCCAGAGCCCTGTGACACTCAAACATGTAATGCCATCCTGGTGCCAGAACCTCCTGCTCCTCTCACTCCACATTCAGAGTCTGGGAAAACCTGTGAGCAGCCCAGCACGAGCACACCAGCACCCACTGAACACACAGCAGCACCCACTGAAAGTATGACAGTGCCCACTGAGAACGGGTCAAAGCCCACCAAAAGCACGCCCTCACTTCCAGACAGGGTGCCAACACCCACAGAAAGTGTGCCAGTGCCTCCTGAGAGTGTGCTTGTCCCCACTGGGAACATGCCAATGCCCACTGAAAGCATGCCAGCAACCCCTGAAAACATGCCAACCCCCACACAAAGCACACCCATCTCCCCTGGGAATATGCCAGTACCCATTCAGGGCCCACCAAAGGCTGCAGAATGTGTGGATGGCCCAGCAGATAGATCTGTCCAGGGGCAGTCTGCGAAGCAAACAGGGGACACAGACATGGAAGCAGTGGATTGAAGACACCATGTGCCCAGGTTTGTCTTCTGCAAACCAGAGCTCTGCTTCATCCTCTAAATTGATACCTTTTTTTTTTTTTTAAGAAACAAAAATTGTTTCCTAAAATACACTCATGTATTTGTATGCAAATGTAATGCACTTCTCTTTGCTACCACTATCCAGTAATAATGGGTCTGCAAATTTTGAGTCCTTCATCTGCTTGAAGTATAATACTTTCTTAATGACATGGAAATACAATGAAATCACAGGATCTCTTTTTCCCAGGCATGATGAGTCATCTCATTCAGGAAAATAATTTTAGTGTTGCACTTCCATGTTTCAAAAAACAATGCAATTCTCATGCATATATTTAAAGACTCATAATTAATTCTATCTATTTATTTTGATATTGCATAAAAGGTGGCCTACTTGGACACACTATGATTTTAATAAATGAGGTGAAAGGAATCTGTAATTACAAAGTAAAATAGTGAAACCATAAATGTGGTCAGCCATATCCAAGAAGCGGTGCAACAGCCAGAGGTGAATTTTTGGGCAAGGAAATGACCACTCAGCACTGTAACCTAAACCCCCACAAGCTTTCAGCCTCACCTTCCATTGGTCTTTTCTGCTCAGTGTTCTAGAATAGGTTTTGCTTTCAACAGAACTACAGGGAAAGAGAAAAGATCTTTTCTAGATTCACATAAAATGACTGAAAACAGCAATTTCCAAATTGATGGCGATTCCCAAGGTAGGGGGTCACAATTCTCTTTCTACATCCAACAGAAAACTGCTACATTATCATACTGCTTGGAATCACAAGGCCAGCAGTGGGGATCATGCCTGTTTCCAGCACACAAACGAGGTGAGAAGATGAGAAGCTGGTACCAGGATGTATTCCAGAAGAATACAGATGAATAATCCTGAGATCATGCTTCTGGATGGTGCTGTCGCTCCCAGTTACAGCCACATGAACCACAGCTTCCTCCTGGCACTGCTGCATGGGCCAATGCTCCCAGGAGAAGGATGAGGACTCACCTGTCACCCCATTCTGGAAGCAGAGCACAAGTCAATAAGCCAGAAGCAAAGAGGAACCAGGAAAGCAGGAATCCCTCTCACAGACACCTCCAGGGGCTGGCTACATCCCCATCCCCTTTCTTGTCTAACCGGCTCTTCCCACCTGCCTGCCAACAGCCATTGCTTAACAATGCAGCCACCTTGTCCGAAACTGGTTTGTTCTGGTGCCAAGAACAGCCATGAAGGAAGGAGCCAAGGGAGGATACCGACCCAGACAGCTCTACAGTCTCAAGCAAGGAGACTGAGTAGGCTTTTTAGAAGGTTGAAATGTCTCCCAGGAATGTCCCCCAGGATTATTTTAACCTTCTTTAAGCCTAAGTAGGCTTAAAGATGTTAAAATAATCCTGGGGGACATTCTTTGTTTCTCATCTCTTTCCTCTGAATTCCACCCAGGCCTTTCAGAGTCTTAGCTGGACAGCTTAAGAATTTGAAAGGGCAATTAAGCAAGATGTTTAGAGGTTGGAAAGAGAAATCTTACAATCAAAGAAACCCATGTTTATAGACAAATCCCGAGAAGACCCCAAAGACAAAGCGACTTGTTCAAGCCAAAGTTGAAATACAGGTGAACCAAGAGGAATGATGTCACCTTTGACACACTCTGGGAAATAGTGGCCACAGGGTCCTTCCAGCATGCCACCCTCCAAAAATGGGGTTTGAATTTCTGCTTACTGCCAACATGGCCCATACCCTGGTTAAATATGTCTGTGAACTGCTTGGTTACAGAGCTGACCCTGGGAGTATACAAGAGCATAAACTGCATAAGTGTGTTTGGATATGGCCTGTAGCTATCATGACTACAGTTTTCAATTGTGAATGCCTTATGTTAGATAACAAGACCTACAGGATTTATCTCATGTCTTTAATCATGTGAAAGTAGATAATTTGAGTCTTAGTTATCTTAAGCTCCTTTTATAAACAGTGGAGAAGGAAAAGCATCTTTTGAGGACAAGTTATCCCATGATAAGACTGGCATCCAAGTCAGAAGGAATTACTTTCTCTCTGAAGATGATCTTTCTCTTCAGATGCTAGAGCCAGCCTAAGACAACTAATTTAAACTTAATACGTCTATTGTTAGGTATCTAAATTAGGCAACATAAATTCCATCAAATATTCAGATTCAAAGCCCTAAGTGAATGGCCATCTCTGAAAACCAAGCCAGTTATGTGCCTGTGAAAACATTATTCTATAACAAATCTGTATCCTAAGATAAACAGTTATACTCACCTGATACACTTATTTTTAGTTTCCATTGACTTAAGTTGGTAGAAATATAGTTTCTGTTACAAGTTTTGTTTGTTATCAGGGTGACTTTTAAAATTAATGCAATTTATATACTTGTTAATGTGTTGGGGGTTTTAATTCTTGATCTTGTTTGATTCTGTTGCCATTTTAGTAACCACCTGCATGAAACAAACTCCTTTTTCTTTACATATGCCCTTATTTTTCTTCAAATAGCCTTCAGTTGTTGATGTTTTCTTATACATTCAAATATTTAATGCAATAATAATGGCCTTACAACTTTAGGTTGGTTCCATTTTACATAATCATTATGGTCACATCTTTAATTATGTAATTCATGTCTCATACCTTCCAGCTTCAGCAAGCAGGGAGACAAGGATCCTGCAGATAAAAACTTCCTACATAGTTATGATTTATTCTTACAGCATCATTCCTCATGAATAAATACACAGCCTTCTGGGAAAATTACTCCCACTCTCTTCCACCTTCCTCATTTTTGCCCTTGAAATTCTAACACTGCAAAATTCTAACACTCAAATACTTGCAGCTCCTATTACTATGAGTTTCTCTCACATACCTGTTGCTTCTCTTCTTTTGTCATGTACCAACTGTATTTTATCCCAGCAGTTTCCTCCTCATTTTCAGTATGTATGCACACATACAATACTGAAAGCACAGAAGAGTGACCTCCATATCTTTTAGTTTCAGGATTTGGCTTCATGTGTTTACAAGAGATGAGAATTGCAGGGAAAATTCTGGCTGATCCCAGGCTCCATAGAGTATTTAGTCAAACTATGGAGATGGTTTATGTAATCTCATGGCCTGTAGAGCTGTGGAAAGCTGGAGTACCCTCAGTAGAAGTGGAAAATCTGTAAAATTTAAACAAGCACCTCTTTATCATCCACTGCATCAGACCAGAAGATTAAATCACCATCACAGATTTCTGTGTTCTAACCTAGATTCTCTCATTCTTCTTCAAAATTAATTCCTGGTCTCCCTTGCTCTTTTCTTCCACTGGTACCCCATATAAAACTGACTATGCACAGTATCCTGGTGAAAAGCCTTTGGGGTGGCAGTCTGCCCAACAGCTCTGCTGCTCTTCCTCAGGTGCCTCTGCACTCAAGGCACAGAAACCCACACTTCTGTGGGTTTCACACTCATTTGGAGGCAGCAAGTGGCAGTGAGACCTGCCTCCCCAGTGTCCATTGTCATCATCATTATTCTAATCTGGCAGTCCTGGTGTGTTCTGTGGTTGCCTCCTTCAGTCTTGCTTTTATTTCACACAGTTATTCCCTTATCTCCAAGCACAGATTTGGGGGAGAGGAGAGGTGGTGATGGCAGCTATTTCTTCCTTACTAAGAAGCAATAGCTTTTTTTTTTTAAATCAGCATCTGCTGACATTCATTTGGTTTCTGGAATTTCTGTTTTCTCAGGTTAGGTGGTGCAGGTGCCCTATGGCTGACACTGGAAAGTTTCAGCCCTCACATTGCCAGCTAGTTCAGGTTCTGAAAAACAAAGTTGCAAGCTGAACACACCTCCAGTGTCACAGCCAATCCCACACAGAAAAGAACCTTAAGTCCCAAGTGTCGAGTGCTGCTAGTCATTATGCTATCTCTTCCCATGTGTTTCACACCAGTTTCCAGAGAAATAAAAATAAAATGCCATCTCTGGCAGAAATGTGAGTTACATCTTGTCCCCTGTGCCCCCATTCAAGGCATCACTCCCACTCGGATGCTGCACCCGCTGCCCTCACCAGCGTGCATGGCTGCATTTGAATTGGGTCACTCAAACAATTCAGGTTAAAAATACACCACCACAATCACCAAGAAGAGCTAATTTTAACTCAGATCATTGCAGTGATCCCACTGGGTTTTTGTTCTGATGGTATCTAGGGAAACATGTCCTCAATTATGGTCACCATAATTGCTAATTGAACTCCACCCATCCTTTGCTCATAAAGGAATCCACACTTTTGGATGTTAACTCTGGAGGATCATGTTGTTCTCAGAGTTAATGGCAGCCTTTCCATTGACTATTTTAGCAGACATCTCCTGGAGCAAATACAGAATTTGGGAAGTTGCATTTTAAATCTCAGTCTGACCCCCACACAAAAGACAGGGAAGAACAATATCCAACACACATTGGTAACAACCAGCTGCAGCCTTTGGAACTGTGTGTTACATCTTCTGCACACAAAGAAAGCTCTCACACTCCCATACAGACACCCTGGCTTCTCAAACAAGAGAACAGGTCAAGTGCCAGCAGCAGGGTGATCATTCAAACTTCAGGGATCATGTCTCGGGTCCCAGTTGCTGTGGTAGAGGCTGATTGGCAAAATGACTCAACAATACGCATGCACTGAGTTTCTCCTTCTCTCTTCTGTCTTCTCTTCTCTTCTCTTCTCTCCTCTCCTCTCCTCTCCTCTCTTTTCTTCTTATTTTCTTACAAAATGTTATTAAATCAAAGTTTATAGACCACAGCATCCCAGAACACAAGACTCTGCTTCTGTTACACTGAAGGCTGAATGTAATGTCAAAAAAATAGGCTTTTTTCACAGAAAGAAGAGAAACAGTGAAGAAGTCCATGTCATTTTTGGTAGAAGCAGCCTCTATTTGTGGGTTGGTAATGCAGTGTTACCTCCTGAAATCCAAGGTCATATTTGAATTACATCAACTGAAGACAGTTTTGATTTTAAGTTTGTGCTTCTAGACCATTGCTAGACTGCCAGACCATTGCACAAACCCACACCTTTAACTGGTGCTGTTCTGCTCAGCTAGAGAGTCTGTTCAGAAAAGTCT